TTCAATGCATAATATGGCCCAAATCTTAGCATTTTAAGCAGGATCATGTTTTTAATGGAAATGTAAAACACCTAATTAGGCACTGTTTGATTTCACTGTGTTGCCAATGTGTAAATCTGTGACACCATAATTTTGAACAGTCATTACGACCCCAACACAGGAAATAATTAATAATTAAAATAATTCAAATAGCAGATTTTTGAGATGCTGCAGAAATAATTTAGCAAACTCATCGCAAGTTAAATTTTCTGCATAAATTCCCAGGGAATAATTAATGATCATTTAGAGGACTGATGACGAGTGTGTGAAATTTAAAAGAGACTGTTGGGCCTTGGTGGAGGTGTGTGCTTGACTGAGTGTCATTCTAGTTAGGGTGAGGGTTTAATCAAATCCTTATCTCTCCTCCTGTGTCCGCCCACAGACTGTTTGTTGGGCCCGATTGATGAAGACCTGAAAAAAGAGGCTGAGGTGGAGGGAGGTAGCCATCTGAACATGCCAGCTGGCCTTAACCACTCCCACCCAAATGCATTTCACGTGTGGGACCAGGATGACGTCATCATCCCCATCACATCCCAAATTGAGAGCCCGGTGTCCAGCCCTCTGATGGCCGTCATCCCATACATACCCTCTTTCTTGCCCAACTCCCTCAGCATCGGGAGCCCCTCCTACAATCAGCCAATCCCGAAGGAGAGTGACGCATGAGGGAAAGGGTCCAAGACAGTTTTCACATGGTGCATCTTTACTGTCGTCCTCCGTCTCCTTTTAAGTTGAACTTCTTTAGCTCCTTATTCTCACCTCTGAAACAACTTTTGACTATCCACTGTTTAAAGGTGTTGAAAAAAAGATTTTCTGCGAAAGCTGTGGAGCAAAACAATAAGTTTTGTAGGTCCAGTTTACCTGAAAACACATAAGTCCACTAAGGTCGAATGGATTTACTTCTGTTGGGGCGACAGATCTTTGTTTCTGACAAAGGCAAAAACTCTGGAGTCTCTCAGGACAGAGCCTGGGATGCAAGAGCCTTCACTTGTTCCTTTTTCCCAGTGGATTTGTGCCAAGTCACCATCATGATCATTCTCCTGCCAGTCCCACTTCCTACATCAGTCTGTTTGTTTGGATGTTGGATCTTTGCCTGATTCAACAAACTTCATGAGTTATAAGGAGAGTGTGACCACATGCGATGCAGAATGCTCCAAATTCATAATAACTTTTAACCACAAAACTCACATCACATCTTAAAGCTCCTCTGTCCTACTAGTTCTTTACTGAGTATTAGAAATAGTGTGTTTGATAACCTGCACAGAAATGGTGAAGAGATCAGTGTGCACATTACAGTGCTGTACTCACGTGTCAAATAAAGGTGAATACTGGTTACTACTGAGATCATGTTTGCAAACACGTGTTTCAATCTTATTCTGATATTAAATATATTGTCAGTCTTTAGGCGGATCGGCCTTAAGTACTTACTAATAGGGTGGACTTAATTCAATTAGTGGAGGTGAGCACTTTAAGGTGACTGTGTGACACGTTTTTAACGACAGGTAGTGTCCATGGAATATATTTTAAAAATGCCACTTACTCACACACCTTCTAAAGAGGAAAATAGGGGATTATCTTACAAAACAAAAAATCACAAAGTGTCAGTAAATATTGTTACATGACTCACTCAAGTCATATCAGTTAAAGTGAGGGTAAAATGTGAGGATGTGTATTTACAAGGCTTGCATTCGTCTATTTGTGCTTGTTGGAACAAAAACACACACACAGTCACACACATGCACACACACACACACACACACACACACACACACACACACACACACACACATACACACACACACTGTTACATAACACAGAGATACAGATTTTAGGGTCTATTTTAAGCAGGATATTGGCTGTGATGCAGAAATCCGGTTTGAAAAGCTCAAAAAGGTTGCGACATCATAAACACACATACACACACTTGTGCATGGTATAAGCACTCCCATTAATCTCTCATTTTCTCTTTCACCATCACTGTCTCCCAATCCATGTAATTACATTCTTACTTTTTTTATCATCACTATTATTATATTTGATATTTTGGGGAGAACTCTCTGTGAGGCAACATTGCTCATTCCATCCGTGAGATTCAGAGTGCCTGTATTCAGTGAGAGGTGGAGATTAGGGAGAGAAGATTAGATGAGCAGCTTAGCCTTTAATACAACGTCCTTTTATTACTTTTGAGCCGTGGAATTAGATAATCTGACAGCAGCAGCCCAATCTGAGGGGACGGATGTCAGAAACTCACCTTGTTATTCTGGTTGTGTGACAGGACTGATAGAGAAAACAGAGATACAGTGTTAAAGGAGAAGGGTGTTGAGTGAAGAGCAAAGGGGGGGTCAGTGATGGATGGGGCAGAAAGAGCAGAGCGCAGCAGAAAGGCTCTGTTTTCAGTGTAAAGCAGCAGGAGTGACTTCTGTGTGTGTGGGTGTTTCATGATAGTGGGATTATTGTTGGCCTGGGCAGAGGTCTCTGCTTCACACATTGGGACAGGCCTGGAAAGAGAAATAGTAGCACTGAGACATTTGACATATTTGATCTAATGAGAGCTGATGTTTGCAGCAACCTGAAGGGAAAACAAGTGCACAGATGTGGCGGTGAGTGTTGCAGCTGTAAAAGCTGAGTGGTGCACTGGAGCGGGGAGTGTGAAAGCACATGAGCAGGCGCAGGAGGAGGGAGGTGGAAGTGAAACCACAGGTGAAAATTTGAGTTGGTTAAAAACAAAACATCCATTAGAAATTCAAGAAATAAGTTGTTAGTAAAGTAAAAAAGTATAATTGCGGAAGAAAAAAGCACTTTGAAACTTGCAACTAGCCTTCTGATTTAGAAGAAAACAATATTTATGTGTGCCATCACTTCCTGGAGATTATATTAGTCATATCATATATATCAGTTTCTTACCATGGATGATGAAAACTCTTATGAAAACAGTTTTATAAATTTTTATAAATGCAAAGTAGGTAGAATTAAGCTGG